TTCCGCATCATCTCTCGATCTCGACGTTCTGCGAGTGGGATAAAGTGGACGAGAGTCAACGTGAGAGAAAACGTGGAGGGGGAATTCGCGATAGAGTGTCGGGGCCCCCTTGTAAGTGTGTCGAGGGCTTGTCATGTGTCAAATTTTTCGCCCCGCGCCCGAAACGCGATCACCTACGTTCCTCGACGATCGCGGTTGCGACTCGACGACTCTCAAGATCATCCTCGAGTAGAGACCCCCTCCGGCTCTTCGAAGGTCATCGGTCCCCGCGAGAGAGCGAAATATCGGGCCCCGCAGCTGCCTTCGAGAATTGGAATGCGGGATCAACATGGAGGTGGCGGATAGATCGATATTGCTCGATGATGTCACGCGTGGTCGCTGACTCTCCCTGTCCGGCATCCTGTTGTGAGTAAAATTTTCACGTAGAAAAATAGCTACGAGTATCCGCTTAAGCCTCGGGTAATTCTTACGTTGTATTTATCGGTGGCCGCGTCGTAAATCGCAGATTTGCAGTGGCGAATTTTTTCAAAAATAATGCACATACCTGCTTCGCGTTGTGGTATGCGCGAATAACAGAGAATGAACCCGTCGACGAAGTGATATATCTTTGGATTTTTTATAGGTCTCTGTCCATAGATTAATTAATCAATGTGCTAAACACATGTCATAATTAATTGATAAACTAAAAAATTTTAATTTTTTTTATGAATTCTTGTTTTCTTTTATATAAACTAGACAATTGTTTCTGTGTCTTGTAATTTATGTTTATTTACCTGAAATATTTTGATGATATAGCCATCGATGATACCCTTATCTTAATAAAAAATAAAAACTTGGTTTGAAATCTTTCCAATAATCTAAATCATTTTTGTTATACTTGTAGGATATTCTCTAAATGTAATGTAATTGAAATAAATTAAAATTTTAGAACGGAGCATGGAATGGACGGATCATGCCCACTCCTCTTTCCCAGCTTCGGAGAGCAGACTGGCTCTGAGCGGGGAGGAGGCTACTCATCGCAGAAGGTATACAGGCCAGGTTCTGATGCCATCGACTTGGGTTATCACACCCTTGACAACAATGCTTGCCGCACCACGTCCTCATCGTCCTCGTCAACCCCGGTGTGCCCAGCCGTCAACAGCAACAGCAGCCACCACAATCTAAGCATTTGATACATTATTCTATAGTTAGCGACTTGTGCCAGCTGGATGACAATCTGCTTCTGAGGATTTTTAGCTGGCTCGACACCCGAGATCGCTGCGCTCTGGCGCAAACATGTCGACGTCTTTGGGAGATCGCGTGGCACCCGTCCCTCTGGCGAGAGGTCGAGGTCTGCTATCCGCAAAACGCCACCACGGCGTTGAACGCGCTGACGCGTCGCGGCTGCCACACCTGTATTCGCCGTTTGGTTCTGGAAGGCGCTACCGGTTTACCTGGCATCTTCGTCCAATTGCCGTATCTCAACCTGACGTCCCTAGTGCTGCGACACTCGCGACGTGTCACCGATGCCAACGTTACTACGGTGCTGGACAGCTGCGCCCATCTTCGCGAGCTTGATCTGACCGGTTGCTCCAACGTTACACGAGCCTGCGGTCGTATGACCACCTTGCAGCTGCAGTCGCTCGATCTCAGCGATTGCCACGGTGTCGAGGACTCTGGTCTGGTGTTAAGTCTGTCGCGCATGCCGCACCTCGGATGTCTTTACCTACGTAGATGCACCCGCATCACCGACGCCAGCTTGGTAGCCATCGCTTCCTACTGTGCCAGTTTGCGCCAGCTGTCAGTGTCAGATTGCGCGAAGGTGACGGATTTTGGAGTACGCGAACTGGCGGCGCGTCTGGGTCCTTCGCTCCGTTACTTCTCCGTGGGCAAATGCGACCGGGTGTCCGACGCCGGTTTGCTGGTCGTCGCCCGTCACTGCTACAAGCTCCGTTATCTGAACGCTCGCGGCTGCGAGGCGCTCAGTGACAGTGCGACCATCGCCCTGGCACGCGGATGTCCACGTATGCGCGCCCTGGATATTGGGAAATGCGACATCGGCGACACGACGCTCGAGGCACTCTCCACAGGGTGTCCCAATCTAAAGAAGCTGTCCCTATGCGGATGCGAGAGAGTGACGGATGCCGGTCTCGAGGCCCTGGCTTATTACGTACGTGGTCTGCGACAACTCAACATCGGCGAATGTCCTATGGTCACGTGGATTGGCTACCACGCAGTCAAACGCTATTGCAGACGTTGCATCATCGAGCATACTAATCCTGGATTTTCTAGTTGATATTCCAGCCTACGGTGTCTTATATCGAAGTAATGGTATAAAGAGGTATTCTCTAGAAAGAATGTATTCTGAAAAAGAGAATATTTTTTTAGAGAATTTTTATATGAATATAAAAAAAGAACAGATTTGTAGATATTTTATATTCTGAAAGAATATAAAGAATAAGAATGTATTGAGAATATTTTGTAAGAATATTTTTTACAAAAATATATCAGAATATCTGGGAATATACTAATTTTAAGAGTAATATCTAAGAATGAGAATATTCTCAGAATATTTAATCATCTCACGTCACCAGTTCCAAGTGCCAGAGTGTAATATAAGAAAAGTTTGTAGGAAATTGTAAATCTAATTTTTTAAATTTACGTTTATTAATGATTATAAATGTTATATCTTTTGATACCATGTTAATGAGAGAAAAATGTAGGATGAATTTGAGACTTTAATAATTTGTATCGTTTGGAATCTATTTATTAACATATGCAAATATTATTTTACAAACATCGCTTGCAAGTATATATTAATTTGTAAAAAGGTTATTTGTGTTTCATTGGTTGTAAAAATATATACATATATTCTGCTTCAAGAAAGTCATGGCTACTATTTATTGTATTTGTAATTTAACGTATTACATAAATAATAAAATCATTGGTAACTAAATTTTGTCTAATTTATTGTAGTTACAGGATAAGATATTAAATATACTCATTTCTTAACACCATTAAATTATGTAAATTGATTATATAGCATGCTTTTTACACAATATGTATAGAAATGTATGCAAGTAAAATATATCCCTAATTAAAGCAAATCATTTTTTTAGGAATACAAAATATTTTACATTTCAGATTTATATCGTTACAAATGTTTTTCTATTGCTAGATTAATGTAGTTTTATAATTATAAAATAATTTTATTATAATTTGTGCAAGATTTATATAAATGGCATTTTTTATATAAAATATATATTTAGTTTTATTTAATATATTTAGTTTTTTTAGTTTTATTTTTTGATCAGATCTCTGTTTCATATAGCTAAATAAAATATATAGCTAACAGTATTAAAAAGATTTATATAAATGGCATTTTTTTATATAAAACATATATTTAGTTTTATTTAATATATTTAGTTTTATTTTTGATTAGATCTCTGTTTCAACAAAATAAATATAGCTAAATAATATATATAGCTAACAGTAAGATCTTAAAGTTACACATTGCAAGGTAGACTGGACAAAATCACGATTCAGCCAATCACATTCGTATACTTGGTTTTGCGACAAAATGCGTATCCGCCTTAAGAAGTCCCCGAATGACACTGCGCAGGCGTGCGACTTCTACTTATATTTAAATAATCCATGGTTACACAAAGGAGACGAGAGACGATTAACGAACAATTATCAAGAAGCTGCATTAATAAGAAATACCTGCTCCAAGATTTATCTCTTGCAATCGACTTGCAAAAATCAAGTAAGCAATTATTCATAGAGTTTTCTGAAAGATAATATATCTATATTTTTATCGTACATATTATTTACGATCGATGAAACAATCAAGAACAATAAATAATGTGTTGAGAAATGTTGGTCCGAAGATTTATTTCTAGTCGCCATTTAAAAAATTATGTATATATGTATACATATATGTAATTCGCGTATATTTTTCCGAAAACAGCATCGTGTTGATATCATTATTTCGTGTTTTGCATCGAACAAAAAATGAAATTTACTTTAATGGCGAAAAAACGCGCGAGCGGAAGTTTTGCGTTCGGAATTTCGGCGGCCGTTATTTGTACATATCTGCATTGTTTCGACGAACGCCTGCGCGAAATTTCCTTCGGAAACCCGCGAGCCTTCGGGTAGGGGTAGCGCGGGATTCAGGGGTAAAATTGCACGGTGGTTGAAAACCGCCGCTGTATACCAGTCGTACGTAGGCGATCACGCGGTTAAGCAGGCCTTCTCAATTCCATGTCGCCGTCTCTCGTCCTATTTCTTCGATACGGTCTTCTCTTGATCATCGCCTTCGGGAATGGTGAGCATTCGATATATATCACTTACGAAACATTGCATTTCAATTTATCGATTTATGCGTGTGTAACTGTGTATGAAATAGCAGCAATAAATTCATTTATAGCGAAAAAACTACAAGAATATAAAACAATTATTGATATGATCATTCTTCAATAATATATTATTGAAAAACTATTATATTATACCATAGTAGTTTTTCGGGTCTTGTTTCTGTTATTCTTCTTCTTTTCTTTGTGGCGGTTGTTTTAAATATCGATACACTGACATTTTTGAATTATAATTTTTATGATGAGAAAATTAAATAGTTCATCCGCGCGCGCGCGGGAATTAGTTTTAAGAAAAATTAATAGAATTAATCTATAAAATTAATTAAAGAATAAGATTTTATTAATTCATTATGAATAAATTCATTAATTTATAATGAATTAATAAAATCTTTTTTTTAATTAATTTCATAGGTTGAGTTTTTATTTTTATGTAAAAAAATTTTTAGTTAAGTAGTAAACTTTTACTTTTAATGAAAAATTTTCTGTACATACACATTGCAAAAGATAAAAAATTTTTGGTAAAATATTATATTTATTTTTTATATTTTATACTCAATTAAAATAATTATACATATATTGAGGAAATGATAAATTTATAAGAAATAAATTTAAAAAATATAATTCCAGAGTTTTAAAATTACTTAATAAAATACTCTAACATTTTTTTGTTTAAAAATTAAGCTCTCTATTTAAGAGTAGAAATTCTATTAATTTGATAAAAATAGAGAAATATTAATAATATTTCAAAAATTGAGGACTATTGAGACATGGTTGCCATTTTTGAAATGTATCTTATGAAAGCTAATTAATGACTTGCTCTTTTTTTTCCTATAATATTCAATAATCTCGGAAGCTAAGAAAGATGTAGGCCATCAATAAAGTTTCAAGGTTCTCGTGGTACCAAGATACAGCACGTTAGGAATTGTTTAGATATTGTCATGCGTCAAAGCTGGTCATAGCTTTTGCCTGTCACGACTACACAACCACTGATATCAAAGACGTCTGAGATGTAAATTAGTGACGCGACCAAATTCCAAAGGCCGAAACGTCATTGAATTGCGAGGCCGTTTTTAGAAGTGTCCTTCGACAGTTTGTGATTTTTACAATTTCTCCCAACCTTGAAATTTTCAAAGATTTGTTATAATAATGCCACGATCTGCACAGTATATATATTTATCTTTGCGCGTATATTAATAAATTATCACAAGATTTTTCTAAAAATATCCTTGAGAAAATAATCAAGTCATTTTAATAAATATGAATATTTGTTATAAATATCTTTGATTGTATAAAATTATCACATTTCGATAGATAATTCTATTAAAAATAATGAGACAATTAAGTGTGAAAGCACAGACATATGAATATTTTCAAATGGAATTTTACTTTTATAGGTATAATTGATGAGAGAGAAAAAGAAATATAAAAGATCATAAAAAACTCACAGAACTTTTGATGCTAACCGCAGCTTCCAGTTGTTCAATAATGTTAGTTTCCAATTGAAATCGCGTTATTTCTCTTTTGTAAATTTTTTATTCTTTTTTTAATTGTTTCCAATCTAGATCACGATAGTGATCATTTACATTGTTTTAAAATTATTCAAAAAATTATTTTTTTCAGATAATTGTTTTTTTTTATTAAATTAATGATATTTAATATAATAATGATATATTTAATAATATTTACAAAATATTTATTTATTTATTTTGTAATACAATAATAGTTTTGGTTAAGAAATGAAAGAGTTAAATTATCGAGAAAATCTACAAAAGGGATTGAAAAAAGGGATCCTCGCAATAGAGGCTTTACTTACCCTACAATGTGTGGTTCTCGGTCTTAACCGGACTTCGTTATGCTATGTTTGCGTCGCAGCTAGTAGTGTAAACGTTTGCGAATCAGTCGCGTCAAGGGACCATTCGACGCCTCCTCCATGCCATCAAATTCCGTGATCGGGACATCGGCGGAATTTGCATATTCGCTGCCGTGGAATCGTATCCGCGCATGCATTTAGTAAATCGGTTTACGTGTTAGCAGGGGCGAATTAACACTAGAGGCAAACATCGGCATTTGCCTAGGGCGGCAAATTGGAGGGGGCGGCAAATTTTCGAAGACAGAAAATTTTCGCCGCCTCTGGCCGCTTGAGGCTCGACGGCCGAGCCGATGACGATCGAGCCGCCGACGGCCGAGCCGCCGACGACTCTACCAATACCAATGGCTGCGTTCAGCAGACAGAGCAGATCAATGAGCGCTTAGTGATTCTTTATTGTAATTGGTTTCTGCACTTAGATCTAACAAAAATCTAAATGCAAGAACCAATTATATTAAAGAATCACTGAGCGCTAACTGATCTGCTCTGTCGCCTCTGTCTGCTGAACGCAGCCATTGACGACCGGTTCAAGCCTCGAGCGGTAGGCGGTAGTGGGGAGATATTAGGCGACGAGCGACGAAGCGACGCTCATTTTAATTCCGAGCATTATTACAATAAAAACAAGTAACTAACAAAAATATAGTAAAAAAGATAAAAAGAAATAAAAATTAAAAAAAATATATAAAATATAAAAAAGAAGAATAAAAAAAATTAAAATACAAGAAAAGATAAAAAGAACAAAAAATAAAAAAAGAAATAAAAATAAAAAAGTAAAAAAAAATAAAGAAAGTAAAAAAAAGGAGTGTAAAATCCTATCTGCAAACCTCCTCGTGGTGCACTCTGGGGTCGTGAAAATATTTAAAAATATATTACGTTTTCACCAGCTAATGCAGGGGTAACAGAAAATTGTTGATATTTTGTACTAAATCTTTTTTTTTTTTTTTGCTTTTAGGGGCGGCAAAATGTACGCTGCCTAGGGGCGGCAAAATGCTTAATCCGCCACTGCGTGTTAGAGTTTGAGGAGACTTTGGCCGAGTACTGGCTATTATTTCATCGTCATTTACGAAGTCTATCCATTAATAGAATGTTATATGGATGGCTGTGTGCAAGAAGATTAATGTTTCTATAACACGTTAAAACTTTCTAGTAAATCAAAGAGAGAAAAATAAAATTAATATGATTCAGCTTTTTATTTTATTTATTATTTCAGCTTTTATTATTTTAATAGCAACGATATTTTATAATGTATTTTATTGTATTGGCATTAATTATTTATAATATAATCATTTACAACAATAAATTTAATGTAAAGTATTATACAGAGTTGAAAAATTTGTGTTAAATTTAACAGATATTACAAACGGTCTGTAGAAATTTTTGTGTTAATTTAACATAATATATAGATATGTTAAATGGAGACACAAATACTGTGTTAAGATTTTAACACAAAAAAATGCGAAACTTGAATTAATTCAAATAAATTTTGTGTAAAATTTACATAATTTTAATGTAAAAATTAACCAAAAAGATATGTTAATTTAACATTTTATTATTCCTATATTATATTATAAAATAAAAAATCAACATTTTTTCCTGTAAATTTTAACAAATAAATCTTGTTACTAATAAAATAGAACATATTTATTCTGTAAAATTAAAAATAGATTTACAGTGTTTTATTTTTACATCTTTTTGCAGTTGTTTTAATAACTTAACATTTAAGTTCAATTAACACACCAGTAATATGTTAAATTAATACATGAATGTGTTAAATAGTTAACACAAAAATTTCAACTGTTTTGAATAAGAAAATACAAATTTTCCTACTGTGTAGAGAAATTAATATTTTTGATATATCTATTTTTAAGAATAATTGAGCTATATTTAACTATATATTTGGTCTCATTAATTATCGTTTTGCAATCTTTCATCTAACTTTTACTGTCGCTCGAAATACATGAATAATCAAATATGTATCTTTCGGGAGAGTAATCTTTGGGATAGGGGATGGCTGTCTTCGCATGGTGAATCATTCTCCCCGAAGAAATTCGACATTCTCAGTTGGGCTCCCACGAGATATTCCGTAAGCTCATAGAGTATCGACACCCGACATGCGATCTCATTATAAATCCGCGAGATTTTTCAATTTACCTCACTCGGTGGCGGTGACAGACGTCGGCCCATTTCACGATCTGTGGGAATATTTCGGCGACTTCTCTCGGGAAACTCCTTATTCGGGAAGCTATAAAAATGTTTAAATTAAGAATATAAATATAGTAAAACTGAATATAATGAAATTATATTAGTAAATATAAAGTTAATTAAATAAAATGAAAATTAGAATATAATGTAATTTTTTATATTATACCTATATATATAATGCTAGCTTCTAAAATATTTAGGTGTAGGTATTCGAGGCAAAAAATTCTTAAAAATAGCTCCGCGGCTATGTAATCAAAAATATATGTGCTTGATCGCTTTTAGAATGTGAAGAAAAAGAGAATAAGATCAAATATATTAAATAAAAAAGAATATATTATAATTATTAAATAGTTGAAAATTATAGATGCATTAATATTTTTGTTGAGGAAAAAATAAAATCTTAACTGGATAAAAAAATTTATGATAAAAAATTAAATTGTATAAAAATATAAATAATTATTAATTTTGGAGATACCTTGTATATTAATAAAATTTTCTATGATTTCACTTTGGCAACAATCCCTTTGAAGAGTCATTGTTTGAAGGTACAGCTCTTAGAGAATCGATAGGGTCAAGAACTCACTTTCCTAATTACGATCGGTATTTACGAGTATCACTTATCTTCCTCGCAGAATCTTGGTCTGCACTTACGTTGTCGAGAGAAGATGAGACCAAGCTGAGATTAGCTCTGTCTTCTGACAGGTTTCACCACGCTTCACAGCACAATGGGGGTTTCAATGAGGGTAGACTAACGTTACTGATCATATAGCCGATCGCCATAATGGATGAACGAAACGGATCCATGTAACGAAACGGATCAGAGAGCGGTAATCAGAGAGAAGAGTCCGGCAAAAGGAATCTTTGAGATCGTTTTTTTTTTTTTTGGAGACCGATTCTCAAGATCTTGTTCGTTCGATCTTACATCAACCTCTATTCTGAGTGATTTTCATCATGTTTTACTTTTCCATTCGATATCACTGTATCACTTGTATTATAGGGCGACGATAATTCTTTATATACGGATGCTTTATTTTTTGTGACATTACATATTTGCATTAAATTTTTATTGACTGCGCTCGCGCACCCGCGATTCTATCAATTTAAAATTATTAATAATTATATTAATTATATTAAATATTTAAAATATTATGTTCATACTTTATCGTAAATATTATTTACAACATATTCATGCTTTACTAAATTAGTTTGAAAATAAATTTATTTTAATATTCAATGATAAAAATCGCTCAAACTGGCAACAATTTATTAACAATATTTAATTGAAATACAACGTTTCGACTGTGATTGCAGTCTTTTTCAAGTAAACCTATAAACATTAACACGAAATGTGTTATTAATAATTTCGTGTTAATGTTTATAGGTTTCCTTGAAAAGGACTGCAATGACAGTCGAAATGTTGTATTTCAATTAAACATCGTTAATTGAATTATTGCCAGTTTGGTCGACTTTTATCATTGAATATTGGATTAGTTATTAGTGGCGATCTTTACAGTTCATTACTTGTTACATTTATTTATGTTTTATTTGTACTATCGACATTATATGCTTTATTTGTAATATATTGTAAAATTGTTTCTTTTTAAGTTATCAATAGTGTTCACTTACGAAGACAACGAATATTGAAACCTTGAAAGCGAGAGATATTAAAGCTTTTCTATAGCCGAATAGATTCAAGGGCGTATTATTTCAATATTCATGAGTAATATATCTTGACTAGAATAATCAATGTTAAACTGGACATAAAGGAACTATATTATAGCTAAATTTATAAAGTTTTTTTAGTATTTTAATTCGAAATAATTTTGTCGCTATTAAAATGAAAAAAGTGATGTTATTACTATTTAAAAATTAAAAATATATGTATGAATACATGTAATACATACATTAAGAGAAAGTTATCTAATACATACATTAACAGAAAGATCTGTTTAAATAAATCGTATATTTTTAATATATTTTATTAATTTTATTAATAAATAATACTATTGCAATAATATGGAATACTAAACTATTGTATTAATTTTACTGTATATTTTTTTATTAAATCACGATTAAAATGAATTTTTTTACAATGTGAAGAAATTAATTTGAAAATTAAATTGATATCTATATACTCTCCAAGATAAATAAATAAGTAAATAAAATAGTTATTTTAGAAAACTGATTGCATCTTGCATATATGTTTAGGTGTGTGTGACGAGCACGAATACAGACTGACGAAGCATCTGCTGGACGGATATGACGCCGGCGTACGACCAGCTAAAAATTCGTCCCAGCCCTTGGTCGTGGTCTTTGGGCTATCCCTTCATCACATTATCGATGTTGTGAGTATTCGAGCGCAAACAATTTTAAAGACCAATATATGGCACAAGAGAATGCGACTGGTCCTCCTGAAGGGCCGTTTTGTAGTATTCTCTCTTAGCATATACTTTCTTATTCAGAACAATGTTTAATGTATCCATATTTTACATTAAGGATAATTCTACTTTTGAAAGTCTTTATTTTCCAAAACTTTTGATGATATAATAATAATGATTAATATATGATATTAAATTGATTAGAAAAAAAGAGAATTTGTTTTATTTAAAAAAACACAGCAAGAATCTGTATATATGTATAAATTAATTATGTAGATTGTAAATATATATTTCTAGACACGCGCGTAATAAATATTAAATAGATATTTATAAGTATCCATATTTTTTTATGAATTGAAATGTTTTTAAGCGTTGAGCAATAATGGTAAATTTTTATACAGTTAGAAATAAATTGAACATTATAGCTTTTTTCGTACAGAACATACGTATACACGTGTTATATATAATGCAATATCAATGATTGTGTATAAATAAAAACATCAACGGAAAATATCGACACACTTTTTGAAATCCTTTAAGTTCGAGGGCAATAGGAAATGTATTATATTAAAGAAATAGAATGTATTTATTGGTAAAATTTCTCTTTAAAAACACGGCTAAGTGGAATCACGGGATTTCTTAAAAAATGTTTTCATATTCTTTCATTTTTGTTTATAATCTTTATTTATATGCATATTTACAGAATTCCGCGAAAATATAATTATTTTTTATTAGCATATATAAATAAATACATGAGAAAATATACTCATATAATCTTAATAACAGTAATGTATTAATCGAAAAGACAACATCTCGGGATGAAAATTACAAAATAAAAAATAAAATAAATACAAGAGATAAAAAATATGACAATGTAATTATTCTGTTTTTAACGATATACGCGCTCGTGTCTATAGACTTTTACCAGCACGTTGCAATTTGAACAGAATTTTCAGTAAATGGATTTTATTCTTAATAAAATCTACTCGTGACAACAAAAAATACAAAACGATAGAAATAAAAAACATTTATTGTCGTCGTCTATAAGAAATGAACAGAAATATTACTTAAAAACGTTTAAAATTGATATGATAAAATTGTTGATTATCTTTTTTAATGTATACGGTTATTTTAATATATTGGCTATTAATTTATTAAATATATTTCTAGACTATTAATTTTCTTTATGCATTAACAATTGTCTATAAAAATATACTTATATATTTTTATAGACAATATTACGATAAAAAATTAATTTGTGCATATCCAATATTTTAAATAATTCTGATCAAATTGATATTCTTTGTTAATTCTAATAAATAGACTTTTTTAATGTATAATAAATAGTTAAATTTAACATTTTGCCAGTTTTCTTGCATATTAACAAAAATACAAAGTACGAATATAAATTAAATGAATTCAAAGCATATGGAAATATACGTTTATGGTATATATGCATATAATTTTTGTATCTTTAACTATTGATCTCTCTAAATTAGTCTCAAAACACAATAAAATCAAATTGATAAAAATATGTATTGAATGAAAATAGAAACACTGCGATCGCGACGGGATCCCGAATGGTAATCGGCGAGAGGCGAGATAAATTGGCGTGAGAATAGGTAAGGCGCGCGGTGGGAAAATTTCTGAACATTTATTCCGCGTATGGCGATATAACGAGATCAACCTTTCTCGTAGCATAACCAATCGGTCACCTCAGGGAGTTTGGGACCATTTAACGAGAGCTCGTTATATATATCTATCGCGCAATATATACTCAATCATTCGATATGTTGTTATCTCTTTTCGTTTTGTTTCGTTTGATAACATCAATGATAACATAATACATTACGATCTTCTTTTCATCTAATATCTTTTCCTTTCTCTCGATCCACATCGAGTCAATCTTTAAATTCATCAACGATTTTCTGGGATACTGTTTATGGGAGTAATCAAGCGTTATTCTCAATCTGTGATTATAAGAAAGCGTTATTAATTCAACATCAGTATTTATAGATTCCTCTCTGACAATTTTCTGTTTAAGAAATTTCTATTTAACTAATAATTGACATTTATAATTTTTTTTGTCTCTCTTTCTATTTTATTATTATTTATTATATTATATGTATGTATTATTTAGAGACTATCAATTCTTGTACCGAAATTTTAGATTCGTGAAATCTTGATTATTCGTCAAATAATAATCGACTACGAAATACCGCTTAAATTCTCGACATACCTACTTCCACAGTTGAGAGAAATATTATACATAGCCTCACGACAATCAAAATATCATCGTTATATCATATGCTGATCACACATTCCGTTGATTTTCCATCTACCGTTTGATTGAAAATGATGCATGAAGGTACTGAGTATTATTAGTGCGAGAATAATGTAGCTTCTCTTTTGAAAAAAAATACTTCATATATTATTAGATTTCACATATAATCTTATTTATCAAAGCAAAATTATTTAAAAAAATGGACCATTTAAAAATATTATTTATACATTTTAATTTGTTATTATTTCGATATTTGTTAATCGAATTAAAAGAATCTTAAGATGTCAGATGTGAGTAATCTTTTGAAAGTTTGGAAACATATTAGAGCGAAGTAAGGATATGAAAAAAGAATGCGAACTGGAAATTAAAATATTTACGATCCGGCCACATAATAACGCAAGATCTAATTAAACTTTTGCATCGATCGGATGCAGCATTGCATACGTTAATCTCCACAGAGATAACGCGAAATTCATCATGTTTTAGATTTCACACAATTACAGGAGTCAATTAAATACCGCAAAATCATTCCATGTATTTTAATTCAATTTTTTATGTTATTAGGATATTTACGGCAAAAAAACTAATATTTATTGCTCTATAAAATAATTTTTATAGAGCAGACTGTTGGATTCTTATTAAATAAATTAAAACGTGTTGTTTTTTCTTGAAAGTTTATTGATAAATATAAAAGTTTAGATTAGTTAATTTATATAAAAAATCTATGTTGAGATTAATATATATTATTTAGATAATTTGATTTTTTAATCGACTTTCTTACAATTATTTTATTTCTTATCTTATTTATTCTCAAATATAAGAGTTTTAACAAGGCTCTGTAATATAAATATAAATTTAACGTATAAGACGGGCAACAAGAGCCAAATCGCGGATGACAATGCGTTATCCTAACGAAACTAAATAATTTTTCGTTAGAATTAAATACCGGTGCACAAGGCACCAAATTTTTACTTGGACACGGCCAAGATTTTAAATATGAAATAATCTCATATTTTGAGATTTAATTTCAATACCCCTTTTAACCCCCCTACGGAAAATAAATAAATGAATGCAAGAGAAAAATATAGATCCGAAAATCGCTGAATCGGGAATCGAACCCGAGACCTTTCGCTTGCCGGGCGACTGCTCTTCCAGCTGAGCTATTCAGATCCTTTCGATTCTATACTTTTCTCTGTTATATATATTAATGTTGGTAAACAAACGCATTTTTTTTAAGCCAGCGTGTATCAAATATAAGAGTTTTAACAAGGCTCTGTAATATAAATATAAATTTAACGTATAAGACGGGCAACAAGAGCCAAATCGCGGATGACAATGCGTTATCCTAACGAAACTAAATAATTTTTCGTTAGAATTAAATACCGGTGCACAAGGCACCAAATTTTACTTGGACACGGCCAAGATTTTAAATATGAAATAATCTCATATTTTGAGATTTAATTTCAATACCCCTTTTAACCCCCCTACGGAAAATAAATAAATGAATGCAAGAGAAAAATATAGATCCGAAAATCGCTGAATCGGGAATCGAACCCGAGACCTTTCGCTTGCCGGGCGACTGCTCTTCCAGCTGAGCTATTCAGATCCTTTCGATTCTATACTTTTCTCTGTTATATATATTAATGTTGGTAAACAAACGCATTTTTTTAAGCCAGCGTGTATCAAATATAAGAGTTTTAACAAGGCTCTGTAATATAAATATAAATTTAACGTATAAGACGGGCAACAAGAGCCAAATCGCGGATGACAATGCGTTATCCTAACGAAACTAAATAATTTTTCGTTAGAATTAAATACCGGTGCACAAGGCACCAAATTTTTACTTGGACACGGCCAAGATTTTAAATATGAAATAATCTCATATTTTGAGATTTAATTTCAATACCCCTTTTAACCCCCCTACGGAAAATAAATAAATGAATGCAAGAGAAAAATATAGATCCGAAAATCGCTGAATCGGGAATCGAACCCGAGACCTTTCGCTTGCCGGGCGACTGCTCTTCCAGCTGAGCTATTCAGATCCTTTCGATTCTATACTTTTCTCTGTTATATATATTAATGTTGGTAAACAAACGCATTTTTTTAAGCCAGCGTGTATCAAATATAAGAGTTTTAACAAGGCTCTGTAATATAAATATAAATTTAACGTATAAGACGGGCAACAAGAGCCAAATCGCGGATGACAATGCGTTATCCTAACGAAACTAAATAATTTTTCGTTAGAATTAAATACCGGTGCACAAGGCACCAAATTTTTACTTGGACACGGCCAAGATTTTAAATATGAAATAATCTCATATTTTGAGATTTAATTTCAATACCCCTTTTAACCCCCCTACGGAAAATAAATAAATGAATGCAAGAGAAAAATATAGATCCGAAAATCGCTGAATCGGGAATCGAACCCGAGACCTTTCGCTTGCCGGGCGACTGCTCTTCCAGCTGAGCTATTCAGATCCTTTCGATTCTATACTTTTCTCTGTTATATATATTAATGTTGGTAAACAAACGCATTTTTTAAGCCAGCGTGTATCAAATATAAGAGTTTTAACAAGGCTCTGTAATATAAATATAAATTTAACGTATAAGACGGGCAACAAGAGCCAAATCGCGGATGACAATGCGTTATCCTAACGAAACTAAATAATTTTTCGTTAGAATT